CTACATGTATGTAATTATGTTATAAATGTTAATTTCCCAGATAAGGGTAAAATGCTTATAAATTTATTTATACAAATTTAAATTAAAGCGGAAATGTTACATTTCATTTAAGTAACAAGAATCGTGAAAATATCAATCTGCGATATTGAAAAGACACTGTAACCACATGTGCTGCCCTTTCGTTTTATCTCTCTAACGTTAACACTTACCTAGTAATGAAATATTTTACGAACATTATTTTACAAAGATGAAAAGGAAAATTAAGTATAAATATAGTATAATCTTATTACGTTTGCTGAAAGTGTCAACGTTTTTATTTTCGTTTGGAGACAGTAGATATTTTTACATTTAATTTCTTTAAACATTGTTTTTTCGGGTTTGAGTATTTGTCACAACCGCTTTTGTGCGGCAGTGTGGCTCACGTCACAAAAACTTATCACTGTGTTGTCACACTCAGTTGGTCCTACAGAACTTCGTAAATATAAATAATCATAATAAGATACCACACACATGTATACATATCATAGTTCCACTTTGCATTTTCGAGCCCGCCTAAACGGCGTAAATGAAGGCATACTTGCCCAAACCATGTCCGCGATACTCGGCTGTCATGGACTACTATTTCACTTTACAAAGCTCACAGGAAATAGAAACAAACACGCACTTGGCATTCGGAAGTACACTAGTGATGAAGCTGGGTCACGTAGCTGAACCAATGGGAACCCTTGTAATTAAGAAAATACGCTCTCAACTCTAAGATAAATTTCTTTGTTAAGTGTAAATTGTAACTAAGGTACTCAACAAGAAATGGTAAAACAGGAACATTGACAACAACCTGGACTTAGCTCTTGATCATATTTTTTACTTTTACATTTCACACAGCAATGTTTAACAGCGACGCAAACGCGACGCAGTAGCGATGCAGTCGCTCGTCGTCTACCTTTACACACACGGGCGATTTTAAGCCGCGATGCAAACGCGCGACTTCATCGATGCAAACGCGCGATTACATCGATGCTAAAAATCGCCGAATAACCACTCTGAGAGTAAAAGGTGGACCTATATTTCGTGCTGTACGAAGTATATTTAGTATACCAGGTGGAATGTGGATTCCGTACCAGCCACCTAGAAACGCAGTAATTTTTCTTATTTGTCATTTTTTGACAGTTTTGCCCATTTGCGCGCACAACATTTGAATTGTGATCTTTAACCATAATTATCTCAGGTCACAAATAAAAAACCAAAATAGGCACATCTTCACGACCTCTATAATTGTATTTTTGATGCTAGTTTTACACTTCGTGCATATCGGATGAGAAACGGCCGTGTAATTGCATTTGTAGATTGCAATTTGATTGGGTGCCAAGAAAGCTTCGCTCGCTTCAGCTGTTTCATATTATTGCTATTTAAATACTTGTTGTTTAGGGTAAAATAATAAATCAAGTCTTAATTAGAGAATAAAAAGTTACTGCGTTATGTTCTTAATGTACCTACTGGTTAAAGTATGTACAAAATTACAGGAAAATTTATATTTTAGAAAGTAATATTGTTTAATCAAAATATGCACCCAAGCTATTGCAATAACGCAGTTTTTCCCTTTTATTGAAAATTCATTTATTCCTTTGTGGTAGCATTGTGCGAAACGGGAATCCACAACGTCTTTATTTTCGACTTCTTCTCGGGAACTAAATCGATTTCCTTTATTTTCATGAGTAGAGTGGCGAAGAGCTTCAATCTCTGTGCTACAGAAAACATCTCCCTACAAGTGTGAGGAGATTTTCATGTAGCAGTGTGGGCTCGGGCATTGAATATTGTAGCCGTGTTGTTTTTCTGCGAGTCTTGCCATCATCTTAGGAAGCTATGATGGATTACTCCACGATTGGACAACCAAACTGTTACGTTGTGTTTTTGACCATTATTTAAGCTTATCTCCCAGGTTTTAATCACTCACTGTTCACAGTTTACGACATCATTAAGATTTGTTATTTTACCCACTTCAAAAATTAGTCCGTATTTATTTGTTGTTTTTTTTTTGCGTATGTTACGCGACATTATTCGGACATTTGAAAACCGATTTTGAAGAAAAGCACTATTTTTTGGAAAGGGTTTACCGTAATAGTGATCTCATTCAAATTTGAAGAAAATATTCCACCTCTAAGGGAGGCAAATTAGGGGATGAATCCGGTTTATTGAATTTCACATATTTTCCGTTAGCCGATTTCAATAAAACCTTGCGCGTATATATTTTTTTATAATACCAAATGACAGGACAAACAAGTCGTGCGTCTGGTGGTAAGCGACACGCCTGTTCATGAGTTCAAATCATAGGTTCAGTTCAGAGCTTTAAATCGCAAAATTTGAGGGGCACTGGTCACTACCACTCCGTCCGTCACCTTGAGGCATAACTTGTCGAGTCCCACGTGCTTGTGGTCATTTCATTAGCACCCTTACCTTTCCAAACCGGAACGCAGTAATGTTCATGCGGTAGAAATAAGCAAGATGGCAGTACATACCTGGACGAACTCTTTCACAAGGAGCTCTACTGCTACTAAAACTAAATGTAATTCCAATGAAAATAGGATGTTATGGTGATCTAAAGATGGAACTGGCAGGTAGATAAAAATAAAGTGTTTGGGCGTGGACTTGCATACGCTTTTCGGTTATAGCTGAGGAGATCGCGGTAACGAATGCGGCGGAAGCGGATAAGCCGACTTTTGAGGTGGGTAAAAATAATTTTATAAAAAAACATTGCATCAGTACCGAGCGGGTCTATCCCAGTCGTTGGAAGCAATAGGCGTTACAGTTCCAGTCGGTGGAAGCTTTAATATGGTAGAATAGAAAGTACCTAAGGAAGGATTCGATCTAAATTTTTTTGTCACTGACTCTTTACAGTTAGTCGCTGATGGCCTTGGCTGCGCCACCGCATAAAAGGGCGAAATGAAGGCTCTTAACCCAAACGATTTAAATCCAATGTGTGATATACTTTTACAAAACAATATAGCGCGTTCTATTCAATCTTAACGCCATCTAGCGATGATGCCAGGGTACTAAATTATTATCATTTTGTTGTGTTACAATATATAATAATTTATTACAAATACCACGCAATAGAACGCAATTCGTTGCTATTCACCTTATAGAGTCATCTACAACGCACATTTGCCTAGATATAATTTCCACTGCGGAATCGGGCAAACCGAAAGCGAACTCATTGTAGTTCGTTAGATGTATTGTATCCTCTCCATACAAATCTAATGCTTCGACCCGTTTGTGCTGCATTAGAGCCACGTCGCACTCTGTTTGATTTCAAAGAGAATGCAAATGCATAACCCCAACATAGTAAATCTAGAAGTCTTTAGCATTTTATTTGAAAAATGTATCTAACCAGAATGTTACACTAAAAAGACTTTATTTCAAAATTAACAGAACTTTAGAATGGCAATTTCAAACTTCAACTAATAATAATAAACTTATTCCTTAATGCCCCTTAGATACCTATAGAAATATTGCTTCTTCCTAATACATAAATAAATAAAATAAATAACACACACACTGGCCCCGCACTAGGGAAACCCTGTATAGAACCCTGTAGGGAAACTGGGTGCCATGGACACACACATATGTAGATAGACAACCACAAATTACCCAAACTCACAAGGGGAATAAATGTAGGCTGTACAAATATTTCTCCCGACCCGGGAACCGAACCTGGGACCTCACCGTGGCAGTCCAGCGTGGTAAAAAATAAAATAAAAGCAAACTTATTGAAAAGTAGCTAATCAATTCTTGTATTTCTTTGTCTTAAACAGGATACTGATTTAGGTTACAGTTTTGCAATCATTTATTTTCACACTATACTCGAGCAGTCCAATCAGTCATCATCATCATCAACCCATGTATAAGCCCCACTCCTGGGCACGGGACTCCACTGAAGCGAGGTATTAGGCCCTAGTACGCCACGCTGACCCAATGCTCAATCAGTCACAAACAATAAATTATTTAACTATTATTTTTACCACATGCGCATTTACATTTGATAGATTTATCTGTATTTATTTAGCTAGTAGTATCTAAATATAATAAAGCGTCGAAACGGTTGATAAATAAATTATGTATTTGTAGTCATTATTTTTAATGGACTAAACAAGTTATTCCTTCCTGGAACCAATCGTAAGCAAACGAGCGATTTCACTTCAATATCGACTCGTCGGGAGATTTCTACAAAATTTCCAATTATATCCACTCGTGAAGCTTACACTCGTATTATCTAGTTATGTAACTTTACTGTAATTTGTAAAGTGTATTATCGCACGAAAGAGACTGTATTTCTAAATTAATTTTTGCCATTCTTTGCATATTTACACGCGGTATAATAACTATGTGAATACTCGCAGAACGAAGGAGTTCAAATTATTTAAGATCAAATTTATTTTTTTGAGCTAATATTTTAATTTTATGTTATTTTTCATTAATTCGAAAAATGAAAATAGTATGATAATTGATAAATGTAAGTGTTTATTTTTATGTTTTAAATTATTTATAAGGTCAGCTACTGGGCCAAACAGAAAGAAAAAATAGCAGAAGGTTAGTGCTACACTTAACACAAAAAAAAGAACCATAAGCTAAAGTTCGATGGTAAATTTATACAGTATAAATAAATATAATATAGCATAAACACACTTAATATACATATATGTAATATACAATACATTACATAATAAATATACCTAATAAATGATAAGAATAAACTATTGGAAATCGAAAAATAAATAACCGTGATCGAACTTTCTACTTTCAGTTTGAATAAAGTTTGCTACAAATAAGTTTCAATTTCGCCACATTAACTAATGAAAACGAATGCCACATCCAAAAGCGTTCCTTTTGTTCTGCTCGTAAAATTGGAGAAACCGGTAGATCTGTGTGCTCCCGGAACATTATGCCTGAGAGCGCGGCGTGAGCGGCCGCCCGCCCGTCGCTGTCCGTCGTCGCTCACGTCAAGAATGATCACTTCCGGACTCATATTCTTTATCATTCCAACGATCGTACAATGCGTTAACGTCGAAAACGCGACATGCCAATCGTCTGGTACTGTTTTGAAAGATGCCGATGATTTCGAACAGCGTGCGGTGCAAGTGAAGTTAAAGTCGTCCAGTTGCCAGTTCTTCCCGCGTCTCTTGGACAGTTTGAAACAATGGAAGAAGCGAAGAAAATGTTGTGGTTTTGTGAATGCTCTACGAAAGACTGATAAGTTGATACTGAAAAGAAGCGCAAGTGGAACGGTAGAGATTGAAATTAGTGAGCTAAGTGAGAATAGTTCTTTAGTGAAAAGTTTCAAGCAGCGGTGGCCCGTTGGGAATTGGCGGAAGTGGTTGTTCACTGATGATTACCTGCTTCTGATCAACCGACACTGGCTTCAGTTTTCCCCGCCAGACCCCCTGAGCCAGTACGCGCTTGGAGCACTGTACGTGGTTATGGTGATTGTGGGGTGCACAGGAAATGCCATTGTTCTTCTTATGTATTTTAAGTAAGTATAGGCAGTATACACTTTATTTTTAATTTAATATATAGTTGATCACATTGTATGGCGTCGTTTCAAGTTTACGTCAAAGTGTCACGCTTAACGTGCTCTTGACTGTACAATGCAACAGTGCAAATTGGTAAGCCAGCTCTACACATACAATTTGCGTTAGGCGCGTTGAATGCGGCAGTCTGTGGTGCAATTCTAGAGTCACTAGTGGGCTCTTATAGTGAGTGTGGGGGATGTAGAGCATTATCCAAATTTCACAATAAACTAGTAAGGAATTCATTTAAGATCCAGATGACTCTTAAAAAGCGATTTCTTGGCAACAGTTACAGTGTCTAATAATAACAACAGACGAAAAATATCGGTTGTATAATACACATAAACAGAATAATAAGTACATATGTTGCAATCCTTCATCATTTGCTCCTTCCACAAACATGTTTACAAACTCGGACGTTTTCACAAAGGATCATGTTTTTCCGTATCCGTGACACCTTATGCGATTTATCACCCGTGAGATCATGCTTCACAAGATTGGAGTCTTACAAATATGCCCCGACATACGTAAATATTTTAAGCCAATTTTTGTGCAACTCTAAAGGGGTGTTATGATTCAGCTGCGTGTATACATGTGTATGCGTTTGTGTTTTGACTTTGTTCTATTTGGCTTCTCATTCAAAAATATTTTCAACTATCAAAATGTGTCTTACTATTACTAGAGATGAAGAGTAAATTCATCATCATCCACCCTATACACCCATCATATACGTTGCACTGCTAGGCTTGGGCATATGTTCATATTTGTTCAAATAATAAAAATACCCCTTTCATATTTAAAACCGTTAAAAATTACCGCCGCACATCCAAATTAATACCCCCCTACACAATTTAGAGTTGTCTCTTACTACCGTGCTGTACTAATATATAGTAAAATAACAGACAAATTAAAAACTGATGACAAGTATTCAACATTTATTATAAAAGCGAATTAAACATATTACTGGCCTCTGAAAGTTACTACTCAATCGAAGAGTTCTTGACAGATAGAGAGCTTTTTGATAAAAATAAATGTTTCATCATTCGTCAGCCACCTCTAATTTCTAATATAATACAATATGAAGTTTATTTTAAGAAAAACTAATAGACGTTTTGTTGCATTTTCATTTTTTTAAATTAGAGATGCGTATGTATGCTTATAACATAACAGGGTCCATGTTTGTACGATATACATTTCTTTGTGTTATCAATTACTCAATTGACTGCCTCCCTGGCAGAGGTCCCAGGTTCGATTCCCGGGCCTACATTTGTTTCTCTCGGGAGTTTGGGTGTGATTTGTGGTTGTCTATGTGTGTGTCCATGGCACCCGCGACACAGGGTTTCCCTAGTGCGGGGCTATGTTGAGTGTGTGCGTTATTATTATTATTAATTAAGTAAATAACTTAAATTAGTTTAAATAAGCCGTAATGGTTAGTATCAGTGAAATTACAGGCGCTTGGGACTTATTAATTTATACCTTAGGTGACGGACGCGGTGCAGTGCCCCTCCAATCTTTGCCATTTAAAACTCTGAGCAGCACTGAAAGGTGCACAAAAAGCAAAAACCCGATAAGGATTCTTTCATACACCAGTTACGAAATATTCCAACAACATAAATCGTAAAATATCCTTTTCAAACCGGTTCATAATCGTTAAATTCCATTTACAAGTTCACCTGATCGAATAATCGACGTTTATCTGTTGAGTTTTTGAAACGCCGACGAAGCTCAAATATAAGAACTTTTCCTTATGTCGTGATAAAGAAAACTCGAGTCGATTGTAATGCAAGCAGCCGAACGTTCAACTTCATTACTGCGGAGCGGCGTGAAGCCAGATTTGATCAAGAGCCGTAAAAATAAAAACACGACACTCCTGGCGCGTATTTTTAATGCCATACATTGCTAATGGAGCCGCGCGTTGAAACGTTTTGACGCGTCAAGCGAATCAAATTGATAATGGTGCTTCTGTTCCTTTAGAATTTTTTATCCAATTTAACAATAGTTAAGACTACACATTAAAATTTCATGAGTTTCTCAAGTTTCTTTTAAAAATGCTTTAACATGGAACACGGACAAGAAACTAATTTAAAAATCAATTCCAGGACCCTTCTTCTTCCAACTCCAGGACTCCAATAAATGTATATGTATAACTACGTTATAGTTCCGTAATATACTTCTTTTTATATATATATATGTGATAAGCGACACGCCTATCCATAACAGTTACAGTTACAGCCACTCAGAGCTTTAAATCCCAAGGATCTTAGTTAGGGCCAGTGCCACTGCGCCCGTGCCTGACACGGCCAATGTGCCTGTACTTTCAGTTTCACCAGCACCCTTACCCTTCAAAACCGTAACACATTAATGCTCACAATACTGCTTGGCGGCAGAAACAGGTAAGGTTTACTACTAGTACTTCTCTGGACGAACTCTTTCACAAGGAGCTCTACTGTTACTAAAATTAGGTTTACGTAACATACATTTTGCATCATAAAGGCCAATACGCAAATGGACTGCCCTTTTCCCCCCACCCTTTTTTATTGCTTACTACAACTACAAGTATTATAATATTGAGGCCGCGTGTGGCGAAGTGCGATCGTGGTGAAAAATCATGACTATAAACGCGAAACTGTGGCTAAATGTGGCCATGAAACGATTATTTGCGCTAATAATAATTATTGTTTAACAAATGATGTCTAACTTGATTACAGACAAGATTAAAACAAAGTAATTTATCAACCCTCAGCAGACAGGGTTAAAATCGGTCAAGAGTGAGGTACCTTAATCTTATAAATGTGGCTTGTTTGGTAGTGTCTGATGAGTTAAACAGATTATATCGAAAAAGGGTAAAATCTCACTCTCATTAATACAAAATTATACATTATCGAAGAAATCGCTAAGACTCACATTATTGTCACGTTTGAAAATTAGACCTTTTATCAAAAGCTTCAATCCATGGACAGGAACATTCACAGGAACTATATCTTTCAAACAAATCACTATCGATAGTGATAGTGTTTTGTTTTAGTGTAGAATTTTGTCAAAGAGTACCAGTACCGTAGTACCGTGGACAGACGCGACAGTCTATACCCATTGGGAATGAGCTAAGCAATATTGAGTTAGTATTATACATATAATAATACAGAACGGAACCAAAACAGATTAATCGCGTACCTGTGAAAACTTATTCTCACACAAAATGGCATTATTTCATTGTTTTAAACATGAGAACATATGAATTACTAAAAAAACTAAATTAATGTAAAAGAAGAAAATTACAATCAAGTTGTTGAAAGGCAAACTTTTTTAGACCATGCAGCCTAGTGTTTTTTATATTTTTCAAATTTATATGGTAACCATAATAACTGTTTTATTCATATCATTACCTCCAATGAACACTACGCCAGCTTGATTTTTGGAGAGTTCAGTTTTATTTTGATTTTTGTTTTTTTTACAAAATTCGTTTTTTTGTATATTTTTTTCGAATTTTGTTTTTTGTTTCTTTATTTTTTTTTCATTAAGTTTGGGGAGCATAACATTTGTAAACAAATATAGCTGTTTACAAAAATAACAGAAAAAGACCAAAAAATTAAGTTAGCCTTGTGTCCATGCTCTCACCTCGATATTTCTTATCGATATTATACCTACATACTCTGTTATTGTGTAGTCAAATATTCTGTTGCTTATTAATCTACGATTTTGTCTTGTTTTACATGTAACATGCTTATAACACGCGTCACTACATGCTTGCGGAAACGAGATAGATAGTGTGAAATTTTGCTTTAGTATTTATATTATTATATATAAGTATTTCGCGATTAGAAAATATTGTAATACACAAATTATCTACATTATCACCATTGATAATGTAGATAATTTATAATAATGTGTTTTGTTTGGAACATATAACTCTGTGGTTTCTGTGAATGTTCTTGTTTATAGATTGAAGTCTTTATTTGAAACAGTTTATATTTTTGTTTTGTAATTTTTTTTTATTAATTTATTACTTTACTTGTGTCTTTGTATTTTTAAATTGTTAGCTACACCCTAATGAGTTCATGTTACTAAAGGGTACATGTTAGGTAAATTGTATTATATTATTTTTGCAATCTTAGAATAATAACGCATAGAAACCTAGTCCGCACACGCTAAGTGAGGCAAATTGAAGCGCGCCCAATGGGCCTACACGAGCGGGCGGGCTTTCAGTGCTCAAGGTCAACTTTCACCGCGAACGGATCAAGAATTTTAGCTAAAAATGACGAAATGTGCGGTAAATGAGTGTAAAAATACGGCAGACAAACATAAAATAGATACTAACATCACATTCCACAAGGAAGTAACGCGTTTCAACTTGTATTTTTATATAAATATTCACTAAAACCGAAAATTAACCTACTACTAAAACTAGCCTACAAAAATTTGATTTTTGCCTCACTTGTGACAGTTCGTTTGATATGAAACTATCATTCTATGCGTTATTATTCTAAGTTTACAACTATGCTAATAAATAAGCACTGAATCTCCAAAAATTGTTATTTAATTCCACAATTTATCGCCTGATACAAAACTTCAAATAGTATTCCATAATCGTTAGTATTTTCTAGAGGACTAAACGTACCAAAAATTATTTGACGGCATGAAAGAACTAAACCTAAAACCTTTTGATATATTTTATTATAATTGTTTATGGACTATGGTCATTGTTTATGGTCTCTTAAAAGAGATCATAAACAGTTCCGTAATACAGTAGTCACAACGACAGGGAAAAGGTTAAGTTTTTCAGAAAAATACTTCATAATCGTCTTTGAAAAATAGGACAATAAAGCGACTACCCTAAATAAATTCATAATAGAATTATCAAATACCTTTATTTTATATTTTCGACACGGTGAGGTAAAAAAATAGTTGACTCAACTATGTTCACATAAAAATGCAATTTCAGGCCAATAACAAAGCCTTGGAGTAG